CTTACCAGCTGCGTCAGGAAGTTATCTTAACCCCTGAAGTTATATTAACCCCTTGTATCTGTTTGAATATTTCCATCTGGACTTTTTTCCTTGTAGAATATAGATTTCACAGCAGATTTGTATTTTGCCAATTTTATTAAGTGGGGGAAGAAAATTTGTATGCCATTGACAATATCATTCTCTCCTGAAGTTGCTGCTCATCTTTGACTCGCCACTGCTTTGTCTAGTTAGGATGGTTTCTCTCCTACAATTCATTTATCTTTTCCATTTATTTAGGCATTTCATTTAAGCAGGGAAGAATTCCTGCCATACGTGTAACTTATGCTTTCTACACTCAGTTGTCTGTGTTAAGTAATATCTGATTCTAGTCAGTTGCACTAGTTTTGTAACTGTGAAACATACTCAGACTACTATCCTATAAATGTATAGAAAAATAAGCTTTTTAGTTTATAGTACATATTTGTCATTGCAGCCAATTTCATTGTAATCAATTATGTTCATGTGTTTATAGAAATAATTTATAAAGTGTACATCTGAACACTGTGTGTGACAATGGAAAGTAACTACAGATGGACACTTTGCTTAAGTGTTCTGGGAACAATGCCAAAGATCTCCGGCATACTGAAAAAGAGGAAAGTCTATATGATCATCACTTTTAAGGAGCCATCATTTGCGGAATAAAATTCTTATTGTTTAATTTAGTGCCTTTTGTTGTAACTGTCTTCACCATTAGTGTTGGATTAAGGTAGCTTTTAAAAATGGTTTACCTGCAGCTGGTGGTAAAGCAGCTACACATTAACAGATTGATCATATGGTAAAAGATGGAGACCAATGTGTTGCAGGGAAATCCTAGTGAGGCTTACAAATATAGTATTGATAAATTTCCTGCGTATCATCTTGAAGTTAAATAGCCCTTGAAGATTAATTGGCATTTAAACAAACTTGTAAACAAGAATTGATAAGACTTTAAAAACTGGAACAGGAACATATTTTGAAAACAAAATAGCTGTTATGAATCGTACATGAAGAGTGAAATTGTCTTTCAGCTTCTATATTGCAGAGTACTTTCTTCTTTTAATATAGCCAGTATCAAAAAAGGTACTGTAATGCAATCTGTGTTTACATTTGAAAAATGGAAACTATAAAAAAAAGTGATATTAAGTATAAAATTATTTCTGATATTTAAAAAGATAATTCTTCCTACAGACTTAATATTGAGTCACTGAAAGGTCCACATTGACACGTCATTTGCAAAGAAGGTATTCCATATTCTGGTAGTGTAAGAAAGACTATTCCTTCCACAGTTCTCAAGTAGCAGGGATGCATATCAGCGGTGAAGAATTTGGGAACATCTAAAAAGTAATCAAGAGAACACTTTCGAACCCAGATGCTAATACGTTATCAAGCCTGTTGAGAATGGGAGAAATATAATAAAAATCATTGTGTAGATAGAGGACAGTTCATCTGGTTGTGTTCTGTTCAGGAAGCATCTTTAAGAGAACATAATATCTGGAACATAGCCAAACTTAATTCAGTCCAATTATCACAGAAGTCTAGTAGCATTGGCTTTAACTTGGCTATTGAAAGTACTAGTTATTAACTTTGGAGATGCCATTTTTGTTTCAGATTGAGCCTCAAGAGATAGCAGAAAACAGCTTTTGGGTAAAAGCTGAAGAAGATAAATTTGAAAACCCAGAACTGTTTGCAAAATTGGCCCTTACCTTTGGAACACAAATGAAAGGTACATTCTTCTTTTACTTTGTATTATGCTTTTACTAAGTTTAAAACTGTGCAATGACAGTCTCTTTTATGCTTTGTGCAATATCATGGAATTCATATAATGGTTTTATAGCAGGAAGATGATTTTAAATGTACATGTTAAATGTTTTTGTTAAGCATAGTAGCCTATTACAAAAATTGCTCCTCCTTCACTTTGCAGCATGAGGGGAGGAACCTTTTGTAATAATACCTCTTAAAAGTGCAGGGTATGTTGCAGACAGATGCAAATTTTCTTCAAATTAAATTATAGTTAAATTTAAATTCTAATCCTAAAATCATGCTCATCTGCATTAATATTCCTAGCTGCAGGAACTGTAAGTTGTCAGGTTTTTATAGATACTCCACACGTGGAGGGTTTGATGTGTAACAAAAATTTACTTGCTTGTATCATAGTGCTAAATCAAAATCCTCTACAAGTACAAGTAAGACTTAGAATGTAGCAGTTACAATATGCAGTTGAATCACAAAATCACAACTCTATAATATGCCTATTGTCATGATTCTGGAATATGTGGGTTGAAACCATTGTTCTTTTCAAAGTTCTTGTGTTTGTGTCCTTAGTCTTTGCTTTCACCTTTTTTTCTGGGTTTTTTTTTGGTGGTGTATGGGTAGGGGTTTTTTTGTTGGTTTTGGTTTTGGTTTTTTTTGAATACTATATGCAACTCTCTTTTAAGAAAAAAGTAAAGTCTTTAAATATACTCCTTTAATTAGTATTTAAATTTGTGTTGTGTAATCTAAGAAACATCCTTCCCCTTTTGCCCTCAAGTTATACACAGTTAAACTGCATTGTTGCTGTCATTAGCGAATGATGCAAGTTAGTTTTCAAAGGGTTGAATGTGTGAGTGCACACTCTTTAAACTGTTTGCATAATACCATGGGAAAGTGTCAGGTAGTACACCGATTTTTCTTGGAACACAGTCTGAAATGGGTCTGGTTGACTACTAGAGCGAGCAATACAGTGAGAATAAAACCTATGCTGGAGTTTTCTGTCAAATGTAACTGAGGCTGCTCAGTATGTCATATAAATAGCTCTTCTGCTATGGGTTTTAGATGAAAAATCATTAATTGCTCATTTAATTCCTTCAATAGGAGATATGATGATAACATTTATATCTTGAGCTGGGAATGCAGTTAATAACAACTGAATATTGGTTATGATTTTGATACTTCAATACCATCCTCAGCTCTTTATGGCTTTAAAATGGTCTTGGAGTATTTCTGAAGCTGCACACAGCCTCTTCAAGTCTTTTCATTATTATCCATTGTTAATGGTCAATTGATCAGTATTTCATATGTGGTCATTTACCGGTAATTTGTTTCAGGCACTGAAAAAAGGCAAGTACTGTTGAAGTACAGTTCAATAATAACTTACTCAGGAGCTAATGAGGAAGCCCAACAAATTAGAGTCCAAGAAGTGGTAGATACTGAAAGAAAGAATTCCTGATTTAGCTACAAATCTTTTGTCCATTTATCAACCAGTTAGAATACAATATATTTTAGGGATGTGCAGTTCTTGAAGATGGATGGAATCAGATGTATCAAGTGTTCATATGCCTAATCTGAATTAGCAAACACACACTTAAGATTTTGAAGTGAATGTGCGTACTGTTGTGCTGCTGGGTTTTTTTACTTCAACTTTTTGGCTTTGAGAATTAACAATTCATGTGATGCTTTGTATTTTAACCATAGGGAGTCTTCTATTTTAATTTGAACCACTAGAATGCTCTCACTTCTATCAATTACTTGAGGATTTTATTACTTCAAAATTAAGTTATATTGCACATAGAGGTTTGTGGTATCTTGACTGTTGTCTGAATTTTAGTAATAAGAACTGCAGTTTATACTAATACAGTGTTTGAAAAGTTAACTCAGGTTAACGAAGGTCTCTGAGGACCGTAACTTTCCTGAACCATTTCTTGAGTAGATTCCGTGAATTATTTTGGAATATGTCTTTTTCTGTGCTCTTTTGAAACCCCTTCAAAGAGTTAGTCATAGCTGTGTTTTTCATAAGATAAATATACAGTTCTTTCACTCAGAGCTCATGCTCTTTTCAGTAGTTACTGAATTTGAGCCATTAGTATTCTGCTTTTACCACGCTTCCCATTTTCTGCTCTAAATGTTCAGATATTACATGCAGTAATACAAAAAGATCATCTGCAGTAATTTAATGCTTTTTTCCATACCGAAGTTTGATAGATTCTTGGTTCATAGCATTGCAGTGAGGTTAAAATGATGTGGAGTTCATCACTTGTTTTAGTGTGACATCAAGACAGGAAAACCTTTACGGGAAAGAACCCCTAGCAGCAGATAACACTTACAATGGAATGAGAACCTTCTTAATGAAAATGACAAGCTTCTGCCGTGAGCTGAATTCTTTCATCAGAAATCTGAAGAAATGTTTCTGAATTCCTGAAAAGCTTCTTCATTAAAAGTGCTGAAAAAACCCTCCTGAAATTTTGACATAGCTGTCGGTTTCATATGAGAGGAAATTCTTGTTGACATAGTTGCACAGTTCAAAAACTACGAACAACAAAAGTTCTCCAAATAGCTTACTGTGGTGATAGCCTTGCAGATATTTTTCCTGTTCTTCCTTATGTTGTTCTCAGTTAATGTAAAAAATAAGTCTTCCCATCCTTTGTTATGGCATGTTAAAAATGCTACCACATATTACCCAGGATATTAAAATCTTATTTGGCTGACTAGTAGAGAAAGTCAGTGTTGTCTTTCTTTGAGTTCAAGTTTTTCTTGAAACTTGAAAACCTACTAGAAGTCAAGAAGAGTCTCAGAGCATTTATTTGCAGCACAGGCTCAAATAATTGCATTCCACAAACAACTTTTTTCTGCAACTTCTATCTGCAAAGGGAAACATTAAATGATAATCACCATTCTTCCTCACCTTTTGCCTGAAAAGCCGCAGGCAGCTCATTAATCCCAGAAATACTTATTTCAAGTGTAATCTAGGATCAAATTTCTCTTCTGCTTTAGTCCTGTTTCTTGGTGTGGTCTCCTAATATATTACAGGAGAATGATAGAAAGACAAATAGAAATGCATTTTGTATTCGCTCAAGAGCACAGTCAGCATGTAAAACAAATAAATGGATGAATGGAAGAAAACTGACAATTGCCAAAAGCAATTGTGATGACTTAGTGTTTACTATCTTGTATTTCATGGCATTTTGGAATACCAGTGGGAATAGTAACTGAAGTAAAACAAATGATGGTATACACACTTACTAACAATTCGTAATTCCATGTAGGTTGCAGCACTCAAATTTGATTAAACCTCTGAATTCTGTTCATTATTCTCTGGCACAATGAGAATGCAACTTTGGGGTTTTTCCTCATTTAACATAGTTTTGTTTTCAGATACTCCAAGAATTACTTAATGTTGGTTGTCACTAAACTATGTGCTGCCTGTTTTCAAGGAAGGCAGCCAAAGCTGCAGGGAAGTGGTATTTTTGGAGACCAAAAGTAGCGGGGGGGGGGCGAAGTCATAATAAGACACTTCTGAGGCACAATTTTCATTAAATAATGAATTATTGCACTCATCAGTTAGCTACTTGTAAAACGTTTAATCACAGGGCACCAGGAACAAAAAGGAATGATCCCTGACTGGTAAAATAATTTTACTTCAAATATACTTAGATCCAAATTTTCTATTAAAAAGTATGCATAAGGTTAAATCTTTACTTGCTACTGTAACATTAGATATTTAATACTGATGCCCTGTGAATATGTAGAATGTATTTAGTTAGGTTCAGATCAGTACTAATAGTCAAACTGCAGTATTTGGTCTGTGAAATCAGTTACTGAGCACAGTTATGAAAACATCTGTTGTACAGGGAGCAATGGAAGCATAAAAAAGTATTCCCTTTCAGACTTTACAGGATTTTGAGATCTTGAGGTTTGAATTAAGTTAACTGAGATCTAATTATCACTGTCTCAGTACAATCTGGAAGGATTTTGTCCATTTTTCTCCAAGAGCAATACAGATGATCCGAATACCTTTTAAGGGCCTCTAACAAATAGACTCCACGGCTTCAAATTTTCATTAAAGATCTTAGATGATTGTTTTGAGCTTGGAACTGGGCTTCCAGATGCAGAGATGGAAACAATGATTATAGTGTCACAGGCCATTTTGGCAAGTGAATGATATTCCATATCAGGCACACTTGAAAATGAATGGGCAACTGTGGCGGTCGTTAATGAGTTGGGCAGTATTAAGATGTGGGACAGTTACTGCATTGTGGATGGCAATGACACATAGATGCATATGTCCTTGTGTAGCTGTACAGAGGAAAAGGGTAAAGATGGTATTAGTTTCCAATCAGTTACTTGTTTTCTTTTGACCTGGTTAATTCTAAGAGAGAATCTGGTATCATCCAGAATTTTATTTTGTGAATCGTACGTTGCTTTAAAGTGAAAGCAGTGATCTTGCTGGTGAAAACATGCATCATCCTTTTACAGTTTTTGAGTCATGACTTGAAAATTTCAGGCTCAGTAGTATTTGGTTTGCAAAATAATCTTATCGTGGCTTGACTTGTGTTTTGATATTTAAATAGCAAGAGGAAGGAATTCTATTGAGGTATTGTTAGCTCAACCTTATCTTCTTATTTTTAAACAAACCTCCAAGCAACAATCTCTTCAGACAAGTTTGGGTTTTTTTAACAAGTAGGATAACCTTTTCATAGTGAGGTTTTTTCTTTTTTAAAACTTGTGTGATCAATTTTAAGCTTTGTGTGATCACATAAATATTTCCGTAATTAAAAAAAAAAATCCTTTCCGGTTTATGGAGTATAAAGAAAATGTGAAATAAACTCAATGAACAATCCTCCTTAGCTGCATTACATAGCATGAACCCTGCAGTATTTCTTAATAACTGAAGAGAGGAGATCCAAGTGATCAGATAAAATCACATAATAGACTCACAAGGACAAGATGCATTTAAGTCATTAATTTCTG